GGGGGGGTCCTAATGTGAGGGCCAGGTGGGTAGTGCCCGGACTCCTCTGAGAAAATGAGGCCTGCATGTGACAACTTTACAAGCCCAGGGCCGGACACACTTCAGAAACAGCTGTCAACCGCATGAGCAGTGTTTCCTCTGTGGTATTTTGAAGCCAAGAACACAGGGCTCCTCGCTCCTACCTGATTCTTTCTCAGTTTAATTACAGTATCTCTCAGTTTCACACTTTCACCCTGTCTCCTTTTAGAGTCTCTTCCTTACTTTACCTCGCCTTACTACTTCTCTCTCTTGCAGCACACATCTCCACTACCCCTCCCACTCCCCCTCTACACCTCACTTCCCCTCCAAGGCCACTGTTTATCTCTCTATCTAGAAAATGAAGGTGGGTGGCAAATTTGACATGGTTTCCTTTGACCTTGACCTCAAGGGTGGCTGGGCCAGCTGCCACATCTGGCCCTGACTTGAGGTTCTCGCAGGGTGGCTGGGAAATGGGACTGGCTGGCCTTGTGGGCCTGGGGGCCCTCATGCTGCCCCATGTCCCAGGGCTAGAGGAGGGCTGGGGGAGGACACCCACTAACAGCAACATGAAAGCCCTTCTGAAGAACGCAGACCTTGTCAGAGCCCCATCCTTCCATCTCAGGAACAGGTCAAAATAACACAGAGTTCCTCTCATTTCTGTGTGTGCAGTATGTGCGTGTCAGCCTGTGCTTAAAGGGAAGAAGGTGTGGAAGGGGCACAGGCCTGAGGAAAGGGGTGCTTGCCGATGTAGGGACGAATAACACACTGTTCCTTAGCAAGCAACAGTTGTTATTGGAGTAAAAATATATATTAGGAAACATTTTATGGAATACAGTTTAAATTAGTTTTTTCTAAGGGTGCTTTTCATATAAATTTAGGAAGTTAGGGAGTAGTGAGCTGTGCTTTGACCAACTCATGCACCTACAGTCTCATGATTCCAAACAACCTTGCATGACAGCACTGTCACTTGGTCCTGGCCTATCACAACAGTTAAATCACCTAAATCAGTCACAGGAACCAATCGAGCCAAGCCAGGACATTTGACAAACATCTAAAGTTTGTGAGGAAAAACATATATACTGTATACGTCAAACTTTAACACATGTCTAAATGAGAGAGTCAGAAACAGAGCCGTGAAGAGAGAGTTTTAATGTAGAAGATTAGGAAGGAGAAAGAGCAACTTCAGAGCAAAAGAACACATAACTGAGTTTGGCAAAATAAGTGCAAGCTCTTGGCATTAGCGAACAGCCAAAACTCCTAAAAACTGTGGGGAGTGTGTGCCCCCCACCCTGGTGTGTAACTACCTTTGCTCAGCTGTGTAGAAAAGCCCTGCTCCTCCCTCCACAGTATCCTTCCATCCCCTCCCACTCAGATGCATTTTGGAATAAATAAAACTATGGCATGCTACTGCTTATTTAATAATTATCCATAAGCACTGCATTGAAATGGCGGGACAAAAAGAGAGAAAGAAGGTAAGAGAGCATCTCTTAATGCCATGACCAAAAAAATCACCCTACTGCATGTATGGGCGCTTGATCCTATCTGTGCCTCAGCCCCTTCCTCCCCTTTAACTGCCCTGGCAGGGCCTTGGCAACAGGAAATAAAGTCACCTTAGATGCCCTCAGACATTTAAAAAATAAAGAGCTGTTGATGGCATGCACTTTTGGCATCCAGCTATGTGGGTATTTGATGTAGAACACGTTAGGGCAGACAATTCTCCATCTATCAGCCTGTAATAGCTCCAAAAGATGGTCTGAAGAAAAGTTGTTTGTGTGGATTATATAGGAATTTAAATGCAAATCCGGCAACAGCCAAAAAACCCAAAAGAAGAAAATGGCATTTGAGATGTTATTTTGAAAGGGCTTTGTCTCTATGAATCAATCAACTGAGAACAGAGAGGTTAAGTGGTCAGCTGTGGCTATGGTGGCTATCACGGACCATCAGCTCAAACATAAACATCAGTCGTAACACATAGCAAGTCACGTAACGAGCATACTTGTGCCAGACTGAGAGTTGTAAACAGGGGTGAGGGACTGGGAGGGATTTCAGCACTTACCCTGGACCCCACCACCAACGCAGACAGAAAAACTTACAGGCACATTTAGAAAAAGTTGTTTTAGAGAGGCCAACTCATATAACTATATAATCGGTGCCCTCTGCGCACTGCTTCCAGCACCAAGAAAGGAATTCCTTCCAAACTAGGGGGGGGGGGACCTACAAAAGGGTCTTGCGCAGGCAACCCTCAGAAAGGCATACTCCATACCCTTTCCTCCTCTCCTCCCTGCCTCTCCAAATCCAGCCAACAGCTTGCAACTATTAAGGGGAGATCCTGCGGTGACCT